TCGAAAAAACGGCCATCATCACACCTTTCGGTTTGTTCGAATTTCTCCGCATGCCATTTGGCCTAAAGAACGCCGCACAATCCTTCCAACGGTTCATGGATCAGGTCACACAGGGTTTGGACTTTGTATTTGTATATATCGATGACGTTTTAATTGCTAGCTCGTCGCCCGAAGAACATACTGCTCATCTCACCATCTTATTTCAACGATTTGAGCAATATGGAGTCGTCATTAACCCCAAAAAGTGCATATTCGGTGTCTCCTCTATACAGTTTCTGGGACACCACATAACCGCGAATGGTATTACGCCTACGGAGGAAAAGATAGAGTCCATCAAAAACTTCCCCGAACCAGATTCACTCAAGAAGGTCAGACGTTTTTTGGGGATGTTTAATTTCTATCGGCGTTTCATTCCTTCGTGTGCCTCCATCGTCCAGCCGTTAACCGACCTCCTTAAAAATGATCCTAAAAAGTTTCAGTGGTCAGCTCAAGCACACGAATCTTTTTGCAACGCAAAAGACGCCTTATCCAAAGTCACTATGCTATCCCATATCAACCCCGAAGCATCGCTTATTTTGTGCACAGATGCCTCCCAAGTAGCTGTAGGGGCAGTATTACAACAAAAGATGAAGGGTGAAGTCACCCCACTCGCATTCTTTTCTAAGAAGTTGGAACCGGCTCAGACACGATACAGCACTTTTGGGAGAGAATTGCTGGCCATATATCTTGCAGTGAAGCATTTCAGTTACTTACTACAGGGCCGGCATTTCACTATTTTTACTGACCACAAGCCCCTGTGTCATGCTTTCACTACTTCACTCGATAAACACTCCCCTAGAGAAGCCAGACAGTTGGATTATATCTCCCAATTTTCAACCGACATCCAGTACATCAAAGGGGATGCGAACGTGGTAGCCGATTCTCTTTCAAGAAGTGACATTAACCAGCTTCAAACGTCGGTAGACATCAGTCTTGATCGTATGGCTCAATTACAAAGAGATGACGTTGAACTCCAAACCTGCCGCAGAAACTCTTCCTTACAGCTCAAAGATGTGCCTATCCCCTTATCAGATGCAACCATAGTCTGCGATGTATCTACCGGCACTAATCGTCCATTTGTCCCTCTCAGTTGCCGAAAAGCATTGTTCGAACATTTACATTCGCTTTCTCACCCTGGAGTACGCGCCACGGTCAGACTGATCAGCGAACGCTTCGTGTGGCCTAAAATGAACTCTGACATTCGGAGATGGGCACGAGAATGTATCCAATGCCAATGCTCCAAAGTACACCGCCACACTATTACAACCCCGAAGACGTTTGAATTACCCGAAAGGAGATTTCAGCATATCCATATAGATATCGTGGGACCATTGCCAACATCAAGAGGATATACACATATCCTGACAGCGATTGATAGATTTACTCGTTGGGCTATTGCATGCCCCTTAAACGACATATCTGCTGAAAACGTTGCTTTAGTTTTTCTCGACCGTTGGGTGTCAAACTACGGTGTACCAACTACTATTACATCCGACCGCGGTCCTCAATTCCAATCGACACTCTTTCGCGAACTGACGAGACTTCTGGGAGTGAAACATATCTCCACAACAGCCTATCATCCGGCAGCGAATGGTCTAGTGGAAAGATTCCACAGACAACTGAAAAGCTCCCTGATGGCGCAGAATGATACATCTAAGTGGAGTGAATACTTACCTTTGATTTTACTTGGTATCCGATCTACTATCAAAGAAGATTTAGGATGTACACCGGCTCAACTTGTCTATGGCACCAACCTAACCTTGCCTGGACAGCTAGTCCCCTCAGCCGATTCCACAGACGTGAACATTGCCGACTTCACTAACCGATTAACTAGACAAATGCTTCAACTTCAACCAACAGCACCTCGACAATCTCCCCGACGAGATCAGATCAACAAACATCTACAAACTTGCAAATTCGTCTTCATTCGAGTCGACGCCATCAGAAAAGGATTGCAACCTCCATACGAAGGACCCTTTCAAGTTATTAAACGTTCAGACAAACACTTTACAGTGAACAAGAATGGAAAACGAGAGACTATTTCAATTGATCGAATCAAACCCGCATACACCGACAACGACTTCGAATCTACATCGGCAGCTGCGCAATCAAATAATCAAACATCCGATTCCACTCCACCGGCACCAAGTCTTATCCTCCCTCCATATCAAACACGTAGTGGTCGGCAAATCAGTAAACCGGCTCGCTACGTTCATTTTGAGGACTAACAAAAAAAAAATAATTAAAAATTATTATTATCTTTTTCGTTTAGACATTATCATCATGACCGTTAGTATTTCGTCGTAAACTTTGATGTTACTATCACTATTATTTATTTATATGTACCTCACCTACAAAACAGGTATTGTCCTTTTCAGAAACTATTGATCTTTAATCCATATTTTTTTAATGTTTCTTTCCCCTCCTTAATTACTGTGTATTTACATATTTTTCTTTATACATTAAAAATCTATGTTCATGGTTAGTGCAAATTTAAGTGACATGACTTTCTATTTCAATTTTTATTGCTGAACTCATTGTATATGCTTTCAGACTTTACATGATTCACATACCTTCTCGCGTTTATGCATGTTGTAATATATCCCTATTTTTATCCAAAAATTGTTATTACTATTATTATTTACTTCACAGTTTTACTTATCATTTTCCGGTTGTCTCTCCGGACCTCTAGGGGGGGAGCCGTGTGGAGTACGTAACAATGTGATTGTACACTTTTTGGTTATTTGTATAAATTCGAGATATTGTACATAATTTTTGTTTAAAACGCTTCTTGTTGAAATATACATAACTTCCGTGTACAATTGAAAAATACACTCTGCTGTTGGAGACTTCGTCTTCTCCCTGGTCACTTCTGCTTACTTGCTCAACTCACACCGTGTTGTATACTTCGGATTTATTGTAGGAGTCTACTACTCTCAACCGAAGACATTTCTACAACCGGAACACAGCAGCTACAGCAGACGCAACCCAAACAATTAACGTACCCGTGGATTATATAAATAATTTGTAGCAGAGGACTTAGACTTTATATCCAAGTAATCCTTTTTGTTGATACAACTCGTCACTGCATTTTTGGTAATATATTGTTATTTAACACTCCATTGACTTGGATTATTATTCTTATATTTATAATGTTAGTGAACTCTAGTATAAGTCCCCTACAAGAGTACTTAAAATGAGTATCAGCTTTCTGTCGATTAGTAGCTAGCAGCTGTGTCATACAACTACTACGCCTGTTACATAGGTTATACAATCTTAATAATTATTTTGTTTCACATCACTAAGATATTCTGAGATCCTTAATGACTTAATTGTGGCTATGAAAGATGTGGAAGATGCACTTATGGCTCATATATTTAAAGCAGTTATTATTAAACAAGTTATCTGTAAGCAACTTGTGATGTTCTGAATACTGCAAACTGTTGATAAAAAACTGCATCAAAGGAAAAATGCCGAACAGCTAGAAAATACTACTGCAGTTTCGTTGGTTATTACCTTTTGCATTTGTAACTCATCCTTCCAAAGCTCCGACTGACGCTAAACCATCCATGGTACCCCACAGGACCTATAGAAATTTGTGAGAGATCTTACATGTCAGGTTGTCTTACAAATTGTAAGGTTGCAGATCTTTCAATTTACCTGTCACTGAAATATCACTTATCTACTTCACGATGGTCTTTTCATTTGTGCACTATTACACTGCATTTTATGTTAACTGGATATGCCTTTATTAAAGCTGAGATTTACTCTTTGTGCCTCTTAGTTGCTTGCTTACAGTCTAGTTGCTTTTATTAGAAACACAACAGCACCACTGTTTGAACAAAGCTGTATTTTCATGGAAGACGTCATATTTTCTATGCTTACACCGATATGGTTGGCATTAAACATTGCAAATGTATACTAACATTCCAAGGACATAGCACTTAGCCAAATGTACAGTGTTCATTGTGAAGGGTTTACAATTTAACTCTTATCATAACCTGTTCTAATCACTCGTACAATAGTTGAACGACTAAAACTTTTGAAGATGCACTAATTTATGATACTTCACGATTGCAGTTTATAACGTAACTTATTGCGCCTGTAGAAATGACATGCATTCTTTGTAAACATTGGTTTATACGACATGAAATTATTATTATATGCTTGCTGCTATCCTTTAGAGGATGAACAATGTGTGTGGCAGTGAAAACCACAGAAGAATGCTGTCATGAACAAAGAATGAGAAAGGAGAACGAACCATTTTCAGCAAAGGTAGGCAAATATAAAGCGTTATGATATTACTTCTTTCTTACTTTGGCGATTTAAAAAAACACTTTGTTTACTTATTTGCAGATATCCGGTAACGTCAGTCAACCCGGTCACAGAGATTCGACATTGCCCAAATTATTACGACAAACAACTGCGTAAAGACATTTGCTTGTTATTATTTTTCATTAAATATATTTAGCATCCTGCTTACCAGACCTTTCTTATTCTATCTGAGTGTAAATATATTTGTCATGATGACTAGATGCGGGCATGACTTATTAGTGAGACCTGACAAAGTAATTGGTGGCATATTTTAGTGTAAGGTAAATCTAAATACGATTGCTAAAGCTCAACGAATTCAATAATTCGTCTCGTGTAGACTTCAATTTACGCTACATGTTAACAGCTTTAGTCATATGGATTGACATCACGCTTTAAGTGAAACATTGGTAATTGTTCCCAAAGACTTTTATATGACTATGAGACGTATGTGCAAAGTTCTATGTCGAAAACAGACAGACAGATGAGACGTATGCACGTAACCTCACTAAAATACTTATAATTTAACACGTATGACGACCGACATCGTTCCTACACAATTGCACTTACGTATAGTTAGTAAAGTCCTAGAGAGCACCGGTCTAGCATGCCGTGCTCACAAAGGGAACACATGAATTGAAAGACAAGATTTACATGAAAATTTTATTTTAATTATGATACAAATTTGGTTTATTTACATATTAAGAACACGATTGATTCCTGAGATTACTCCGTCTGCATAAGCATTGGCAAACACTTCTCCAAATTTGTCACTAATTCTCGTAATGCCCGCATTGATAATACTTTTTTTGGTTTTCACTTTGTCACGTTGATTTCGAGGGATAATTGCTGACGTACTTTGAGATGCGAACAAGTTGCGTGACCACGTCCGCTGTTTACAATCCTGCATCACATGGTTAACTACAAAAGGTGGAACAAAAAACATTAAGATAACTATGAACTGAATATTACAGGTGCAATGATGATAGTGCTTGTGTCCTGTTTCCAGTTAAGGCATCGTACACACGAATACAGTAATGAAAATTACAACCTTCCGTATACAAGAACATTCAAAAATATCACGACTCGAAATATATTAAGTATTTAACCAGTACGTCAACGTTACCTTTAGTAACTGCGGCTTTCATATTTTTAACGTCGATGCGAGTTATATCCTTGTGGTACTTCTCCTTAACATGCATTATTATTTCATCGGATGAGCGGGATTTCTGAAGAAGTGGTTCCACATTTTTTTTCTCTTCAACTGTTAGTCGTCTATACCATGGGTCATTCTGCATGTACACCCTGCTGCATGGATGGTTATGTACCATGTTATGGGAAGCAATTATGTATTCACTATAACGCAAAACCACGCGAAATGAAGACGAGCAATTGCAACATTTAGACCTGAAATATTCATGAAATCATATTTCACTTCTTCTTACGACTTATTTTTCAATTTCAATCCAGGTCTTGTACGATTCACTCCAAAAGTGCATTTAAAACCAACATAAGCGTACTTAAATCTGTCATCCTGTATCGTTTTGCTGCAATTATGAACATAGTGAGTGCAGGACAACTACATTGTTAGCATTAAATGACTTCCTCACTTTTTGAAATTCTGCTAATGACTTCTCAAATTCATCCCAGCTCAAGAAACGCCTTCCAAGTATTAATTCACCAAAAATTCCACTTAAGTCTGTGCGCCTTGCACTCGAATTGACTACCCGCAACGGACTAAAATAAAATTATCAATTAGTATCCATCTTTGTCACAACTATTCAAAGAAAAATCGCAAAAAAACAACATTGAAATACAAAGATAATCAATAACCATCAAGAAAATACCGCACGTATAACCTAAATTACAGAAAAACACAAGAACCCACCGGTTCGTTGACATCGCAAGCAACCGGTTGACCAAACAACGAATTGTACGACAAACAAAGCCTAGTACATGCACAAACAAAAAAAAACAAGGCGTTACAATTGTCTAATTCACGTTTATAGTCATCATATATGCTGGCAAACGACGCAAACACAAACACGCCAAGACAAACACAGCACGCACCCAAGGACAATTCAAACTCCAATTGACCGCCACTGTTCTAGCCAATGAAAGACGAAAAAACCTGAGTCGCGGAAAATGTAACACGTTACAACGTATATCCTCACCCAAATAGTTCTAAGAACAGCCATACACATGATTCATGATACCATATCAAGAACGACCGAATGAAATGAATCTATTCCTCCCATTATATCACACGAATCAAGATCTTAGCAAGATCTCCCACCAGGATGAAGCATTTCGAACAGCGTAGCAGGAAAGTCCAAAAGCCAAGGAGGATCTACATTCCTGTGGACTAGTGGTCATTTCATTGAGTGATGGTTCGAGAAATTCTTTCTTCTGTCAAATGACTCGTTCAAGTAGCGACTAGAAAAACATGGATAGTTACGTGGAAACAATCATCACTAGATTTAAAGACTCTTGTACTCTAATAAAATCTGAACTTGAAAAGGAGCGAGGTAGATGCGAAATCTTGGGTTCAAATGTGAATTACAAGCAGGTTCGATGAAGGAGAATTGAAAACATCAGCCCAACAAAGAAGCGAGCAAAAACAGAGGCATATTTCAAATTACAATATACCCAGCGATGAAGACATTTAGCGCGAACGAAACTTAACTAGTTGTAAACTACTATAAACTCAGTATACGAAGATGAAACCAGAACGTGATAGTCAGAGAAGTGTTAATGTCAATGTAGTTGAAGATTGAACGATCAATTCATGATGGTTTGCTCAAACCCAACTTCCTCATATTTTCGGGGAAGCATCAATTCTCCAGTCATCGTCTCATCGGTCGCTGTTCAGAAAGAAGATCAAAAATCTGTCAGAAGTAATATTGTGATTTATTGTTGTAATATTTGTTCTTAAACCTAAGTGTGTAATGCCAGTATCGCCGGTTATATGTTGGCGTTAGAATAAAGAACTCATGAGTTGCCAAACGGTGTTATGTTTTTTGCGTCGGCTAATACTAAGCGTTTCTGAAAATCTTCGAGGGACAGCGCGAGGCCCAGCGAAGCAAGAGCTGGACATTAACTGTTTATGAGACGTGATTGACAGTTTCTGACGGTTTGGATAGTCACCGTTCATTTTTCCTGGTGCCGGTCAAGTCCTCTTTGAACAAGCAATATCTGGAACGCTTTCGGAATTGGGTCAAGTTCAACAATGCCTGGGTCAAAGAAGGGACAGAGTGTCTTGGATGCAAACAGGAAAGTAAGTCATGGTGACTTGTCTGTTAATTGTAACGATGTGTCAGATGTTAAACATTACATGGTTGATGTTACTGTTTCGCCGTTCAGGGATAATAGGAACATCAAACTCCCTAAATTTGAACCACGGTGTTTCGACGGAAACCCAGCTGATTATTTACAGTTTGTAAAGGAGTTTGAAATCATGTTGAATAGTTTTTTATTAAATGATGAAATAAAGTGGGTCATCGGTGCAAGGGTGGGATGGAGGAGATAGTGTAAAGAGGAATTGAAAGAGTATGGATTAACGTGGATGCAGGTGAAAAGTACAGCAGAAGATAGAAGCAAGTGGAGATAAGCAGTTGAAGCCCTATGTTCCACTAGGAACCCAAGGGAACAAAAATAATAATAATACACCTGCTTAGCTGACTCGATGACTGTCCACAAGCTTTCATTTCCTTCTCCCACGATCTTCTTCATTTCACCCTCGGAACCACACCCAAATCTCCAATTCGCATTCGAGTTCCATTGGAGGGCGAAGCTCGTGATGACACTCAAGCGTCTCCCCAGCGTTTGTTCAGTCCATCTACATTTGTTTTTGCGTATCTATTGGACAGATGATACCTTTCACATTTCTCCTGTTGATGGCGAAACTATCATATTTATTCGGTTCGTTACTCTGCTGGATAATCAATAATAATTCATATGTGCAACTTCTATTGTGTATAACAAAATTCAGACTTAGAACTGAATACATTTACAGACCATCTAAATGACTTTAATTTAGAGCATATATACATAGTAATAATAATAACAATGTGCTTTATTCCAAAACACTACTAATGTTACAGTATGGAATTTTCAGCATTTGGTACATTATTGCATCTAAACTTATCGAATAATATTAAAAACAATTATAAAGATAATATTTCCGAATTGTTAATGATAGTGCTTATTTGGTACTAGTAGTAACAGTAAGATCGTGAACAAAAGAAAACTGTAAAATTATGATAATAATATTAGTAGTTAAGATTATCAGCCAATTATATTGAACAACATCAGAAACAATTTCAGGAATATTATTTTGGGGTTGTTGATGACAGTTCTTATATGGTGTTTGTAGTGACAGTGAAGTCATATATATACAAAAAATTGTAAACGGTGTTAATAAGTTTAGTAGCTAAGATTGTCAGTTAACTGAGGTATTGCCACTATAGATTGCAGATAGGAGATGATAAAAAGGCCAACTATTTAGCTAACAACATTGCAATTCATGAGTTTCACGCTTAACGTTGTTTCTGTCCCATAGAACACGGACTATTATATGATATCGTTAAGTTCCTATACTTGGTAGCACGAGCATATGATGTTTTGTACGGACTTCTGGTTCTACCACGTGAGATGCAAGGGGAGAGTTGAGGGTCAGACAGTAAAGATTCAGATAATTTCTCGCATGTTTAGATGTCTATCAACTAATGTAGCAGTGACCAGCTGACTAAGTTGCACACCGCTTGCCCTGCTAACAACCTTTAACGCTCTTCTCAAAGCGACATACTCCTTTTCCAGTTAATCAGGAAAAACTAAGGAGGAGCAGTATAGTAAAATATGTAAGATACACAAGTTAACAACTTATAAAATAATAGATTATAGTGGCTCAGACGGAATATTTTCTTGGAGACCGATGAAATATGAAAAAATCAAGTAAAATCAGAGGATAAAGCTGTATCAAGGGATTTTGTGTTAGACCTAGTTTCTGTTACAATCCCCTCTATGCTACAAACATAGTGTGCATTAACCAGTCGTTCTAGATCATATATATCATTAAAAGCTTATCATAGAAGCATTTCAGCGCACTATAATCACGTCCCTGGCTGAAATGACTTAGTATACTCCTTTCTCGTTATTTCGTGACTAAGTTGTTTAAACGTGACTCCATGAGTGAGTATTCTTCTAGTATGTAATTAAGGTCCTAATAAATACCTGTAGTTGCTAATCATTCTCTGGAAATTTCTGATGAGCTTATATGAATTTCGGTACTTTGACAGCATTTCTGTTATGTATCCTGCTGCTCATTACTATTTTTTGTAATTACAATGCTTCCAATAGTGAGTTCACCAGACAGTACTCATATACTTCCGTGATACCAACCTAGAAGCTGAAGATTACGCTTGTTCTGAATTTTTTTATTTTCTGGAACAGAAACCAGCCATTTTTACAGGCATGAACATACGTACACTTATCAAAACTTATAGAATATATAATATGATTTGTTAATCTATAAATAAGTTGAAAACTGGTAAATGTGAGAGAGACATTTAAAATGAAGTGTACGAATAAAGAAATAGATATAGCGTCAAATCTAAACGGTGATTGAAAAAAATACATGTCAATTTTACGCGGGAATTATAAATGATTGCGTTAGTTGAGGAAGGTAAGTAGCATTTCTATACAGATGCTGACGTGATACATAGGACATGCAGAATAAACAATACTTATCAGTAAATGATTCATAAAGTGTTTCAATGTCTATTAAACATTAAATTCACCTGTAAGTACATCATATTTGTGACATTTCCAGTTGTTAATGAGACCGACTTTGAGCTTGTTAGCAGATCTTATAATATCGGTGGTCCCATTATTCACCAGATGAGCTAACAATATCACTAATAGGTGGAGAATAGCGGCGCTGTATCAGTACCTTCGTTGAAAGCAGTATGTTCGAAAAGAGAGGAAGACACAAGAAAACCGGCAGACAGGCGCAGAAGTATATAAAAGGTGTTAATAATTCGAAATATATAACAGGCATGGGGTTCATCATTTTTTGTTTTTTTTCAAGAAATATTATTTTCCCGATATTTTACAGTCTTTTCTGCGAACAATTAGTTTAAAGGGAAAGACAGGTGATAATTTCACCTACTTATGTAGGTTGAAAAGGAGTTAAACACAAAATTCAGAGTGTGTGAGCTGTGTAAAAGAAAAGTGAGGGCTTAATAATATCTGTTTTTCCGAAGTATACAGTTAGGTGTCCTTCTGAAGTAGCGGACTCATACCATTTACTTTCATTCAGGAGTTTGTATCTAAACTTTGGCTTTAGGTAATTTTCAACTTCTATTTCTTTTTATTATTATTTTTTAAATTTTACCTTTTTATTTATTCTCGTTTTGCAGAAGCCATTCGAACTCAGGAGCCTTAGCAATAGAGTGCTGTCCCACAGATAAGGGTGGTTCTCATATGTCCCCACCATCATATCCGCTGACTAGCAATCACCACCCTCCCACCTTTTTTGTGCAAGGCTCTGGCGAAATGCTTCAATTTTTTAATTATTTTTTTATTTTATCATTTTTTTAATTTCTTTTGCAATATGCCACAAACCGTTTTTCCAAATATTCGTCGTGTAAGGCATGGTAAGTTTGGCGGTTTTCTAATGTTCAAACCATGCTTGTCTACTTTCAGGTTGGCTGCGAAGTATGCAGGGATTGGTTACCCAAGACGAGGCAACGGATGACCAATAGGAGTGCCCTTCCCTCTTATCTACTTGTATTGCGATTGGTTGTAAATATAATACTTGACCTTGAGTCCTCGTTCTTACTAGCACGCAACACTTGTGTGATCACACTGCTAACGTGCGCTTTGCTCTCTGTTTCAGATCATTGCTTGACGAGTGGGATTACATAAATGGCGAGCCTGCCAACGAAAAAACTTTCTTCTTCTAAGTCTCGACCCAATGAGGCTTCCAAGAACACTTCTCCTGTCAAACAGACAGCATCTCACGAGGTGGATCAATTGGCTGAAGTGAGGGCTCCAGCTTTTCAGTCAAATCAGCCTGCTTCGCGATATGTCC